ATTTAACATTTTTTGTCCTTTCCTATTTGTTTTTGGCTACATTAAAGCATTTTTTTGAAAATATACAGTAAGGTTCCATATTACCACCCGATTTTCTCTAAGCCTACTTTCGGACATTTTGTACAAAAGCCTTCAAAAACCATACTTATAGTTACACTAGCGAAAAATCCAATTAGGAACATTTAGTTTACTAGTTACCAGTACTTTTCGCACAAAAAATGTGGGTGTAGTTATGATACCTTGTTTACTATTCACTAAAATGTAAACATAATACCACCTTCTCCTCTATTGATTAGAAGTGACAACACTTGCACAAAACTATAAAATAAAAATAAGCTAATCAGATAAGTTTGTATTGTTTTTTATTAGCTTATTTATCAGTTTGTATTGTTTTTTATTAAGCCATGCACTTTTAAAGGTAATTAACTTTCGAAAATATTTTCAAAAATTCAAAAGAAATAATAAAAATAACTTTTAAAGTCAAACTAAAATTAAAAATGAACTTGTTTGTGTTTCTTAGTGTAACATATAAAATATTTAATTTTTTATTTATTTTTACAGGGTGAGTTAGAGAGTATCTAGGTAACCCCAATGGCGGCACTTTGGACTGTTCGTGCTCCTGGCGGACTCCTCCCGGAGGGGAGCCGCTGGCAGCCCGCCCATTGTTTAATGTCATTAGTTATTGATTCACGGTAGTTCTTGAACAAAAGAAAAAAAAAGGATACGTCTACTAAAAATGTAGTTAACCTAACCAAACCACTGCCATTGTGGTTACCTAGGTACACTTTAACCACTGGGTGTACTGTGGTGGCATTTTGAATTACACAAAAATTTTTTTTTACACTGGCACCTATTTGTAGTACATAAATCAGTTTGGCCTAGGACAAACTAGTTAAGCCTAAAGTATTTAGGCCAAATCAGATTATCCTAGGCTAAACTAGTATATCCTTACATGCATAGGATAAACTAGTTTGGCCTGAAATCGGGTTTGGCTGGTAACATATAATTTCCATTAGTTAAATTTATGAAAAACCAATTTGTATTTGAATATTTTTTTTTCGCTAACAATTAAATGTGCAAAAATGATCACACAAAATGAAATTAATGCTAACCTTTAATAATCATCAATAAAAGTGTTTATTGGATATATTTAATAAGTATACATATTTAAATATAAGTGAAACTAAATCTGATTTATTGATATCTATAAGCTGTATTTTTAAACTGACATTAGGTTAATAATTAAATCAACAAAATTAAGTAATTTAGCCTAAAGATAGATGGTTAATATTGTTTAAGTTAAATACTTTAGATGAATTTGGAAGAGATTTCAAATTAATATAAATCTGAAAACAAAAATCTAGGTAATGTAATTGGTAATGCAAGTGCATGGTAAGCAGACGGTCATTTAATTTAATTAAAAAATTAATTTTGAATTTAGATTTTTGGACTATTTAGGTACACTGTATTTAATAACATAAACAACAGTCTGCTTCAATTTGTAGTGTCAAACAAACTGCCAGATTATTTATCGGGCTATTATTAAGGTTAATTTATTAATTAGATAGCAGTTTGACAAGAGATAGGTGGTTAGGCTGGCACTGTATGGTATTTAGCAATATTTCTGAAACTTGAAAATAAAGTTATTATATTGTTCTTAATATTTAAAATGTATAGAAAAATGTTACATTTTCACTTTTGACTTTTTATAAACTTTAGTTTGGGAAGCAGCAACAAAATCTAAATATAAGTGTATTGCAATATTAGGAAAAAATGGAAGTCATATTTTANTTGTTTGTGGGCTGTGGGCACTGTTTTGTTCTCAGTTCGCGAATTATCCCAATAGTCTGATGGAGGCAACCAAACAACTGGGAAACGCTTTCTCTTATCTCCATCCGTTTTGGCTTTTTCACTGTAGAGAATTCGGGGCAAGCCTCCACAATTTTGCCCAGAAGTGATCTCACCTCCTTTAATATTTCTTCTTCTATATTATCCATGGAGGTCTGAGACACTTCAGGAACACCTTGTGAGTTGATTTTATCGATGTGCTCAAGACACACCATAATAGCTCACTTAAATGAAAAATATGACTAACATTTTATAATATGTTTTTATATTGCATTGAATACTTGAACATTTTTTAGAATAAAAAACAGGACTAAAGCCTTATTCTTGAAATTTTTAAATTCAGAAGAAAGAATATTACATTTTAATTTTAAAATGATTTCTTTAATTTACTGTATATTTATTCAAATTACCATGAAAAGAAATGAATGTGTATTACTAAAATTATTTTTCTAATAGAAGTGCTACACCACCAATTATCCATTTTGATGTGTTTGCTTTTGTTCTCAGATTAAAAGTCCAAATATATGTATTGCCACGTTCTCGTGTCCTGTATAGAGGACATTCAAATGTATTCTTAATTTCTTGTTTTTCTGAAAGTATAGCTTTCACATAGATGACAGGCATTTCTGGGTAAAGTTCTTTTAATTGAGCATCATCAATTAAGTTTGTTGAAGTATTCCATCTTGCTCCCTAAAATAATAATAAAAAAAAACTTTAACAAGATGTGATTAGAAAGCATCAAATAAAGCTTTCTTACAGTACAGTAATACTAATTATTTGTATTCATTTTATTTTTTCTTGGATAACATTTAAATCTAAATAGAATTTTAGAAAAAAGATGTATCAACATCTATGAAATTTTAAACTATTATACAGTTTTTTTTAATATGTCTGTTATTTTAAGCTGAAAATCTTAACATATATGAAGAATAAAGGTCTTGATCCTCAATATGGTGTATGGTAGAATTTAGATTATGACAGATTAGAATTGGATAGATTCTAATCTGTCATCCAAAAATGTATAATAATTAGAAATTTTCATACCTGGGTAACAAAGATCAGTATAAATGAAGACTACACTATCATATGAACTTTTTATTATTATCTATATTAAATAATAATAAAAGTTCACCAAAAATATGAGTTTTAGCTGAAAATATTTGTTCTGCTGAAGTGATGTACTGTTCCATTTTATACCTACTAAATGAGATAATCCCTATTTTTGAAATTTTTTAAAGTGCAGAACTTTAAAATACTATAATGTGAAAGGTGAAATTAAAACTGAAAACTATAGAAATACTGCTTTTTCATTTCTTTAAATCATAGAGATGAATCTAATTCAACTTATATAATGGATGTGAAAATCAATGAAGGTTTTTTATACATGGATACAATAGTTAAAGCTAATGATAGTGCATATGAAAATAATTTTTATTCTACAAAAATGAAAAACAATTTGTACAATATTATTACAACAAGGTTCATATTCTGTAGCATAATCTAGCATTATCATTAATGATATGATGATAATTTAATAATTCAAAAAACTAGATGAAATTTGAAAAGTGAATAAAACTTTCTAATTCATTAAATCAATTTGTCAGATTAATAAAGGTAATTAATCTGACAAATTGATTCAATATTGTGTAAACAAATCAGGCTAGAATGTCTTACTGTGTATGAATTACAATACCTTTATCTAGATAAACAGCAAGAAAAATAGGTCAGGTCAGGTCAGATCAGTTGGGGCTGAATTTGAGTTTCTTATGTTTATGATTGAGTTTTTATTCTACTTCTGTTTTTTGATATTGATTGAGTATATCTGATTTTTGTATGATCATTTCTCGCACCACTTTTCTGTAAAGTCTGTTCTGCTGGAACTGTTCTTTTCAGGTGATAGACCTACATTTGGTAATCTTTTTATAAGAATTCTATTTATTTTGTTGTGTGCATATCTTTTTCTTGAGTAATTTCCCTCAGCAATTTTTTTTTTAGATTTACATCATCTGTTTTACTAGGAAATTAAAGCCATGCTATCTGGCTTCCAGGCCAATTCGATACTTGGTCATTATTATTAAATTTTTTATGAAAATATAGTTGCATCATTAGAATTGTTATAATACACTGCAAATATATACTATATTCTAAAAAATTACATTCTAGCACAAAAGTAGTTAAATTATTATTTAAAAAAATAGTAATTCATATTTTCTTTACTTATGTATTTGTTAATTGTTTTACAAAAGTACTCACTTAACCAAGAAAATAAAGCCAATTCTAATGTCAAGTTGGCAGGAAGCCCTCCTGTATAGACCCTAAAAGCTACCATTTTATACTTGTACAAGATTATTCAAAAAGGTCAATGCAAAAGTAAAGCTGATTATTCATACCTGAAATAACATATATAATAGTAACAGTAATGAAATGAAAAGATAGACAAACTCACTAAGTTTCACATACATGTTACAAATACTTAATATGGGCATTGTTGGTGACATAGCAGTCCAGTTCTGTCAAAATGTATCCTAGTGTAAGAATTGAAAAATAAAAGGGAGAAGAAGTTTTTTTTGTTTTAATCACAAAGCCTAATTTTCAATGATATGATCTCATCAGGAGCCAGAATACATCAACTTCCTAAATTGATATTTTTCTTGTTGGTGGTGAGTTTTTGAACTTATTTTTCACAGGAAATAAAATCCCATGAAGTCCTGTACACTATTACCAAGTTTGATAACAATCTGTCCAGTAGTTTTCATTTTATGGCCATTTCAAAGTAGAACTTTAATTGTACTTTTCGGGTACAGCAGGACAGCGTGACTTCCTCCCGTGCCTTCCATCTCCACTTTGTTGCTTAGAGACTTCGAAATTACTTTCGTATTGTGGCTTGGTCTGGTCCTAGATTTTGCAACGTTGGAGTATAATCTTACTTGTCCTTTGTTTGTGGGCTGTGGGCACTGTTTTGTTCTCAGTTCGCGAATTATCCCAATAGTCTGATGGAGGCAACCAAACAACTGGGAAACGCTTTCTCTTATCTCCATCCGTTTTGGCTTTTTCACTGTAGAGAATTCGGGGCAAGCCTCCACAATTTTGCCCAGAAGTGATCTCACCTCCTTTAATATTTCTTCTTCTATATTATCCATGGAGGTCTGAGACACTTCAGGAACACCTTGTGAGTTGATTTTATCGATGTGCTCAAGACACACCAACACATCCGATGATCGAATCGCCATTTAAATTGAAGGAAATATGACGAGAATGCAAAAGAAATGAACTACACTGAAAGAAAAATGAACTATCTGAAGACTATCAGACCCGCTATACGACCGATGGCTTGCTTTGCGACCTGAAGACAACCAAATTAGTATTGGTTGGAGTAGCGTATAACAGTTGGTAGAGGAGGTCAATGACCTACACGATACTTCCCAAAAAAACACCATAAAACCAAAACAACATAAAACACCATAAAACCAAAACCACAAAAGTTAGAAACACGAAATTTGGGTGATTTATAGAAAATAAGGTGATAAAATTACCACCCAACTGGCAGGTAGCTGAACCTAACACGTAGCTCGATAAAGGCCCGCGAACGACATGCATTGACCACCTTAGATTGTCAAAAAAAGGGGGATAGGGAAATAATTTCAACGAAATCAAACCAAGCCTACTGACCAAAAGCTGGCAGACAAAGCTCCGAATTGTCAAACTACACGGGAAAAGGGAAATGTTTGACTTAACGGTACTAACGGCCATTCGGTTGTGGCACGAAAATGGCCGTAACTGCCGAAAAAATGGGCTGATCTTAACGAAAGCTACGTTAAAGCAAACCAGAACCCTTCAGCAACAGAATATAAAACAGTAAACTTACGTACTTTAAAGTAAAACCTTTGATTCTAAGAATGAACACAAGAGCCGATGTGACACACGTCCCTTACCTGTTACATGACATCTCCCTGTTTTGATCATAATGACAATGTGACTACTAGGACTAGCTTATGAGAGTAGTAAACAGACTTTAGTGTCATCTAATAAATGTTTTAAGCATAGTTAACTATGCTGGATAGTGTGTGTTACAACTGAATTTTGTCATTTTCTTCTTCACCCTCTTACCCCTACTCTCCTAAGAGATTGTGTCATTGCTATCCCCAAATACTTAATTCTTGAATAGTAGGCATAACCTACTTGGTGGATTTCTGAGTGTAATCACTTACATTTAGAAAAAAAAAGAGAACTCCAACCCTCACACTAGCATATTCTCTGATTTGTGGCGTAATAAACACTAGTATTGTGTTTTATTCTAAAGACACAATACTAGTGTTTATTACGCCACACATATAAAACAGGACACGGTTTCAAAAAGAAAATATTCTCTGATATCAATTCCATTGCTTTAGAGATTCTTTGTTTCAGGTCTTCCAGGTGCTATGGAATTAGGGACTGATACAGTGTCTTGCCTTCCAGAAGCCTTCCTCTTGAATCATCAAGATTCAAGAGGAAGGCTTCTGAATGATATTATGGAAGGAATGGTTGCAAGCAGAAAGGGAGAAGGAGAATTAAAATGACTTAAAGGAGGATAGTTATAAAGATCTAAAGACAAAAGTGCAGAATAGAGTAGCATGGACAAAGAGATGGTGCTCACTGGACCTACTATAACTAGCAGAAAACTGAAGAAGACAACAGGGTAATCTCTGAAGCAGTTGATATCAGATGATCAGAGAATATGCTAGGATGTGTTTTGGAAGAACTGAACTACTGTGTTTGATAACTNACAATAAATGCAGGATTGAAGTGCTCACCAGTGTTGTCTAGCACCAAACAACTAGGGTCATTGCTAAAGATAATATATTTCCAGTCCATACTTCTCTATCTGAACTACTGTGTTTGATAACTGCATATCACCAATGGTGCCCACATCAAACATTTGTAATGTGTATGTGAAACATAGTGAGTTCTTCTGTCTTTTCATGTCATTACTATTGCTTTATGCTATTTCAGGAAAAAATAAATTAGCTTTACTTTTGCACTGTCCTTTTTTGAATAACTGTTAATTCTTTCCAGCTTATAGCCATAGGAATGAATGTCTCTCTCCTAAACAAGAAGCAGAATTTTTTAAGCAACAAAAGCAAGAATTACAAAGAATAATCATTTGTATTGTATTATTATAGGTTTTTTTTAATAAGACAGGAAACTATACTTTAAGAATACAATTAAGATAGTGTCATGCATCATCTATTAATGATCTTCCTACAAATGGTACTGAGAAAATGGAATGCAATATAAATATCTTCTGTAATTAGTAAACCATATTAAAATGAAAACACATTAACCAAAGACCATCCATATTATATCATCAACAAAAGTAATGACAAGGTTTTTCTGGGGGAAAGAACTTTTTGGATCACAGCATTATTAGCTTTTGATTTAACATCTATTATCAGTTAGGAAAGAGTCCCGTAATTTGATTTATCATTTTAGAACTCCAGAATCCCAATACAATATCTACTATCTACATTCCATACTTACTTCCATATATAAACCATGAATGTAAGCTCCTTCTCTAGGAGGTGATGTAAAATCTTCTCGATTCTTTTTAGTGACTTCACACTGTAAACACATTTTATCTAGAGGTAACTCATTTTTTCTTGCAGTAACTTGCATCACTGCAGTTAGAAAAGACTGTGGATTGAAAAATCCAGATAACCAAACAGATGATGGAAGAACAAAATCATTTACCCATGATTCTAGATCTGAAAAATAAAACTTTTTAGTATTTTTGTTTATATGTGAATTTATTAAATTTTTTAATAGAATGGTAATTAATTAAATGCAACAAGTTTTTATAATTAACTAGCTGTACCCTGCCACGCATTGCTGTGGCTCAAAATGTATTTATTATAAATGTATAACACTCCCTGTGGAGAAAAAAATTCGAAAAATCCCTTTTTAGTGTACATTCTCTTGATGTACCCTATTAAAACGCAATAAAAAATGCAAAAAACCACATCTAAAATAGTATAATAGAAGACAAATTCTTCATGGTAAGCCTTAATTTTCTCTCTCCCCCCAGGGGGAATTTTGACATCTATATACTATAACAACACGTACATATTCGAATGCAACGTTGTTTCAAAATTTTAAAGCAATCAGATTCAAAATCTTAAATCTCCGAAAGAACTTTCAGAGATTTAAGATTTTGAACAAATGAACATTTACATTTTTATCTATATAGATAATAGATAATTACTTTATTTTATAAATAAAAATATTCTCAACATATTAATAAATTCAAGTTTTAATTACCTTTAGCTCTAAGAATTAAATCACAATACCAGGCAGTAAATCCAAGAAGTGATGGGTAAGCTCGTTTAGTCCATGTTTTAGGAACATGATCAAGAAATAAGGAATTTTCTAATTCTTCCATTTCAGCAGTTATTGTTAATTCTCCCTATATAAGTTAAATTATTTTTAATTCTTATGTTAATGTATGTAATTTCATTTCTTACACAGGGTATAAAAAATTTCTATATAAAAGAATATTTTAACATAATTGATAATTTTACTAACTGGTTGATAAATAAATACTACTATGGATAAATTGTGATCAATTTTCAACTACAATATTTGCATGTTTTTTCAATGAAATTAAACTTTATAGTGTAAAAAGAAAGCTATTCTAATTTCAAGATTTAAATTATTATTGATAAACAAAAATTTTTTATAGTTAATTATTAATCAAAGATAATAAGTATTACATCATTTACTTTTTTTATTTTTTATGAGTATATTAGATTTTTTAATGTGATTTTTTAAAATCACATTAAAAAATCTAATATACTCATTGACAAAAAAAATTAATGCATTAAGAAGGAGGCAATGGAATCAAATAAAATTTTGATGTTATCATCATTATATTCACACTAATAAGTGGTTATGATATCATAGCAAAGGGACAGTTTCCTGTGAAACAATGTATTATATGAAGAAACTTTGAATACATTGGACCTTTCTTGTCTGGATATGTGTGAAAATATGGTTGGGAAAGAAAACAAAGACATCTTATGCTATCTTGCCACATATGATGCAACTACTGCTTCAGATACCTCTTATCTGTAGACAGAGAAAGCTGGCATCTCATCCCACAAATGCTAGATAGATGACAAATCTAAAGTGTAGAAACATAATGAAAACATGGCTGTGTGCAACCAAGCATTATCTTGCTGGAAAATGACTATTTACAATCCTTCCATGAATGGCAACATATGAGTGTACAGGAGTTCCTAAATGTATTACTGTGCTCTACTATTAGATGTCACTGACTGTCATATGAAATGGAGATGGCTTTTCAGATCAGCCAGCAGCTGGAGCAATATGCCACAAACAATAAATGCAGGATTGAAGTGCTCACCAGTGTTGTCTAGCACCAAACAACTAGGGTCATTGCTAAAGATAATATATTTCCAGTCCATACTTCTCTATATTGGCACCACTGCCAATACAAGTAAACAATGTTGGTATACTAATGGCAGGACATGAAAAGTTGACATACATGCAAATTTACCTGTAGCAAGGCTTCTGTCAGTCTCTGGATAGTGGGCAAAGATGTTATTCAGCTGTTCATGCTTGTCTTACAATTAGATAATCCTGAGCTGCCTGCCATATATGTGCCTCGACCTACCTACTGTTCCAACACAGTCAGATCAGAATGGCCCAGATGCTGGGCAATTTAGGCAAAATGGCCATCCTGCTTTCCTTGCCCAATGATGCAGTCTTTCTTAAACTCCAGCTATGCACAATGTCTTTGAATGCCAGGCCTGTCTGTATGGTGCAAAGACCTCAAACATGTACAATTGATCCTTGTGTCCTTATGTGTCCTTACAGGCTTTTTATAGTATAATGAAATAGTGATTTTAAGGAACTCTGGTATTCAATCAGACCATAACTGTAATCATTCATAACTTTATGCCAAGTCTTGTAGTCATTTTAGTTTTTCTTGGTGCATAACTTTTTGTCAATGAGTATATATGAAGAAATAATCATGTAATAATAGAAGAAAATTTTTCTTTTCATATGTATAAGAAAAGAAATGAAGTAATCAGCAAGTTAAGAACTTTGATATTGCATATCTTGATATAATCAATAATGCTTTGCTTATTCTTTTAAAATAATCTAATATCACTTAGATTATTTTAGAGGATCAATTTCAAAAAAAATCTTCAAACGTAGTATAGTAATACCCCAAACTTACGCAATAGGTGGGACCGAGCGATAACTGCGTAAGTCAGGGTATAATTTCGCAATTTGTGTAAAATTCATGTCGGATGTATGTAAGCTAATAAATGCTCTCGTTAATCTTTTGATTTGTTCACGGTTACAAGAAATCACCACATAGAATCTCTCAAGTCTCCGTAGATATAACAAACACAGAAATAAATAACACAAAATAAATTGGAGCTATGTGTTGATTCCACGCAACACGTCCAAATATGTAAGCTAAACAATAGTGTGGGGGAGTGAGTAATCAAGAGTTACGTGGCGCTCAAACAAAAGACGAATCAACGAGATTTGAAAATCGCGTAACTCCGAGTTCGCATAAATCGGGGTAGCGTAAGTCGAGGTATTACTGTAAATGAGTAGATGTCTGAGTTTATAAAATTATGATTGTTTAATTTCTTTAAGCATCAACAATTCAGTCAGTCAAAATAATCCCATCTTAAAATACAAAAATAATAAATTCCAAATATAGAAAGTAATTTATTACAAAACTAACTTCATGTAACTTAACAAGATTTGTTTCTTTTTAAAGTTGATAATATTTTATTATAGGTGTGTAAACTTAAAATCTGCACAATTTTGGTAGCCATATTTGGTATTTTTTTAAAAAATAAATTTGAGAACAACTAGTATAGATTGTTGCTCAGACTCCATAGATTTAAATTCATGTTGTCATAGCAACAATATTCCAAATGTAAAAAATAATGTAGCTTAATGAAGAACAAAGAAGAATTGTCATTGGTGAATTTTATAAACAACATCAGGAAATGGGGAGAAGCTTTACAGTTAAGCATTTGTAGATGAGGGGATGGTAGGAATGACAGTTTACATCATGAAAGTGGTAAGACTTTCCCACTCCCTGGACATCTAGTACCAAAGAGAATTAAAATGACAGATATCAAAAGAGGATCATTGGAAAGAGAGGCAGTCAGAAAAATTGCATAGTTACTAAGAAAATTTTGAAGGAAATTCAAAATATTTCATCAGTATGTTAAAAACATACTAGTCAAGCAAAATTTTGTCCTTCAGAAGCAAAAGTCAGCCCTAAAACACATACACACAAAACAAAACAAAAAAAAACTCAAATTGCAAATACAAAAAAATATACAATTTTAAAACTTTAAATGGACTGGATATTGTTGTGGACAATGAGTCATATTTTACTTTTGATAGAAGTGACTACATTGGGAATAACACATGCTATTGTAAGGATGGGTTGAAATTGATCGACAGATAAGATTTAAATACCCTGCAAAATTTCCCCAGAAAGTATTAGTTTGAATAGCAATCAAATATCAAGCATTAATAAAATCTTCTCACATCCTGAAACAAAAAATACACAAAGAAGTGTATAAGAAAAGGTTGATCCCATTCCTCAAGAAACTCTACGCAGATGTGTGTATCTTTTGGCTGGACCTGTCAGTTGCACATTATGCAACAGATATAGTTTCTGTATTAGAGGAATATGGAATCAGCAAAAAGAGCAATGTTGCAAATGTTCTTCAGCTGCATCTAACTGAATGATTCTGGTATCAGCTGAAAGAATAGGTATATGAAAATGCTAATCTTCCAAAAATGAAGTGGAAATGAAACAGTGCATCAAGTCCAAACTCTGCCAATTTAATTAGAGCACTTCTGAAGTGATGGCTTGTGTTAAGATTAAAATCAGAAAAGATGCCAACTGCAAACTGGATTCCATAATTTAGTGATAGAAGAAACTAATTTTGTCAATTTTGTGTTCTTGGATAATCATATTGTAAAAATAAAGATGTTTTATTTTTGTGAAATTTTTTGTTTACACACCCTTAGTTTACTAAATTTCAAAAATTTTACCTTTAATCCAAGATTTAATTCCTTCAAAGAATTCTGAATTTCATTTAATAAGAAATTCATGCGTTCACATTCTTGGAATGCTACTACTGTATAAGGAGTTTTATCTTCAGCTCTTGTGAACAGATCAGCTAAAATAAACTGACTTGGCAATCTTTCCATTATATCATCTATAATTTGTGTAATCTAAAAAGATATGAAATTTTTAGAGAACTCTAATTGTAATTGTATCTTAATATAGAAATTAATCTACACATTAAGAAAAATATTATTATGTGCCTGATCAGATGTAATTTTATTATATCTGATCATGCACATACTGGTTAACATTAGCAGTCCTGGAAAATCAGAGCAATTTAAGAGCCCCAATTAACCATAACATAATGTAACCATGATAGGAGAAACCATACCAAAAACATTTTGAGTTTTAGTTTGGACTGATGTTTTGCAGGGATACAGGTTCAAATCCCAGCCGTGCACAAGTGCAATTGTGAGGTCCTGGACAGGTCTGAACTGTCATGAAATTTACAATAATTTAGTTGATTAGGAGAAAAAATTTGTTTGCTTATAAAGGCAAGTAAAAATGGACATCCTTGTGTTTATGTTAAAATGTGACATGGCATTGTAAATCTTAGAAAGAATGTCATTTATGATCGACCATCTCCGGTTAGGAGATCAAATTTAGCTTTAGGTTTGACCTCTTTGGTGCTCTGAGTCAAGATTGCATTATGCCTAGTAATGAGGGACCAGCCACTTGGAAAGCATGGATGAGGGAGATCAACCAATTGGAATGGTGGATTGAAAGAACAGATATTGATAGACAGTGGTAAGACTGTTACTAGATGGATACATGGCATTCGGTTAGTCAACACATACCATGTGTTAACATGCTAAGGAGAGGCAGTTTCTCTTTCTCTTGGATAGCCTGTGAATCTATGCCCATGTGTGATGTCAATCCTTCCAACTGTTCTCGCTTTTGCACTGTCCTCTGTGTGGGAATGCCACAACTCTATTTCCTACCAGTCCATGTTCCTGATCCAAGAACTGTCTCATCTGCTCCAGGACTACGACCCATCAACAAAAATGTCTAGAAGACTGAAGCCACATTGCTCTCCTACATTGAAATGAACTGTAGGACTGTAATTAATCAGCAGACCATGTAAGAACATTTCGTAAATATAAACGGTTTCTCTGTGAACACACTTGTTGTCACTGTCTCCGTCACACCATCCATATATGTGAATGCCCTTAGCAATCTCTGATGCGGATTAAAGTCATCTCCTTTTTTGTCAAGATACAATGCTTGTTAATTGTCTGTAGGACATTTATTTCCAACATGCATATCGTTTTTCTTTTGATTTTGAATTTTTCAAAATGCATTCTGTGAGGCAGTATCCTCACACCCACTTGAAGAATTAATGGTAATAACATTTAATAGCACCATTAATAGACATTGTATTTCTGAGTTTTTAGAACATAGCTTTTCATTAACTTTTTGGGATTCAATACACACAATTAACTCTTGTTCATAAAACATAAGAAAGATGGTCTTCAAATTTTCTTCACTAAGAGTTGATCTGAGTCTTGTTTTAAGCATCTTTAGTTTCATAAATGATGAATGGAATTATTAGAAGAAATGTGAAATTCTTGCATATATTTCTATATTCCAGAAAATAAAAATCATATGTATGCAGCATTCTAATGTATGCAGCAGTTGCATGGTTTGCATTCTTTGGTGCAATGATTAATCTTTGCTTGAGATTGCTGCTAAGCCTGCTCTACTTACATTTCAGTGTCACAGACTATATGTTATGTTAAAATTACTGAATGGATGTTTTGTAATTGCAAAGGATAGAAACTCTTCTCACAGCTTTCCATATCAACCAATAGAATTTATTTCCACACTTTCTCAAGAGCTCCAGATAGTAGATGTTTCTATGTCACTAAATCAATGCAGATCCAAAAATTCAAGATCCTGGTAAAGTTCCTTATTTCAGCAAAAACAATCTCATCTATTTAAGTTAGAAACCAGTAGTTTGAATTTACTGGCAAAACAGAAAAAGTGTTCCAAGTTTTCCATTTCCCCAGTTTTGCATTTTACCTTCCTGTGATATTTCAATGAATGTAATATCAATGAATAAGAATTTCTTAGAGTTGGATATTATGGTAACAAAGACTTGTGCTGCTTCAAGTATTCTTGTAAAGTTTTTATATTTGAGTAAAGCTTTATTGAGACCTCAGTTGAGTTGGAAGATAGTTAAGATTCTTTGTTTGTATATAATCTGATAGCAGTATTGTCACTTCATATATCATTAAAATGTTTTTTGAAATGATTCTTGTCACAATAACAAAATCTACATAATAATCCTCTAGCATTGCTTTACAACTTTTCTTTAAAGACAATGGACTTGAATTTTGCAGAAATTGTAGCCCGTAGGTTATATATTTTCAAAATTAGTAATTCTGTAATTATTAAGAACAAGGATATTCATAAATTTTTGTTTTTAACCCCATTCCCCATGTCATTCACATTTCATGAAGGTATGCCCAAAATATCCAACTTACAGATATACCTTCAGCCACTTGACAGTTTTTGACAAAACCAGATGGCAAATTGTTTAAGGTGTCAACCTCTGCTTTGGAGAACTTGGAAATGAATTCTGAATGGACTAAAAAACCCCAGGAACATAGTTAGAGAGGAGTTTGGTTTAGTCGAGACGATGACCTCTCCCACGCCCTCCAACAGGTTTTGAGTTGTCACCAGGTGATGATGAGAGACTAATGAAAAGACAACTTTTGGTGTAAAACTTATAAAACCGCATGATTCAAAGATGTGACATTCTTGGTTCTTGGTGCTCCACTTCAGGAATTTCTGTGATCCTGCAGATCAGCAGTGATAGATTTGTCGACTCCTGGGAATTACCATTGCTCTGACGTCTTGTTCGCCCAGATTCACCCTTCTCCCAAGACTTTCACCCAAAGCTGTGTCGCATGTCCTGAGGTCTTTGATCACAACATCCATCATCGAGGGACAGAAGGAAGAACTTTGTACTGAACGGTGGACTCTTGTGTGGACGTTTAACTTGCTTCCCAAGCTGCGTTATGATGAAACTTTGCAAAACCTTGTAAGAAACTTTTTTGTGATATAATAAACAGGTTAACATTTAATTAAGAGTTAATTTTGTTAGATCAGATTAGTTTTTAGTTGCAGTTCAACTGGCATGCCAGTAACCCCAGGGTTTCTGGCATACTGATCTCCCCAGTTATATGCAGCATGCCAATCAATCTGAAAAAATATGGTAATACAGTAATACAGGTGTAATACAGTAATACAGTAAAACAATACATTTATAGTACACCATTTAATGAAATTTAGCCTATTCACATACATTCAATAAAATTCCTGTGGTAATTCTAATATATTTTGTATTAAAAGGAATTTGTGGTTATAAGGTATCCAACGTATCTGATTTCCAAGAGAACACTTTTGCTCCTTCTATCTCAGGTGTGGCCAAACTTTTATTCCTTAAGGGCTACTTTTTCAGTAAAATATAGTCTGCGAGCGACTATGAATATGTCACGTTACTGTCTGACATATGATTTTGCGCCATTTTATGCAATTGCCATTTATATGCGCATGCATTAACATTCATTTGCATTGTTCATTGGAATAAATACAAACAGTATGGGTACATTGCACAGAGAGTCTTTTATTGTAAGAATAAATTATCGAATTAAGATTTTTAAACATTAATTTAAGTGAAAGCAAATTGTTCAACTTTAGCTTCGCGGGCTACTTTCAAAACCTTTGCGGTCGGCCAGTCGACTGCGGTCTACATGTTGGCCATCCCTGTTCTATCTGGATTTGAAATAAATACCTGACATTAAGTTTATTGATTGATGTAAGTGATTAGTCCCTTTCAGAAATTGGAAAAATTTTTTCTGGTAATAAATGTCATGAATTATCAGAAAAAATTTTTCCAGTTACTGAAAGTGATTAATCACTTACACAATGTCAGGAATGGTAAAAAGAATTTGTGACATTCACTCATGATTTTCATGAACTCTGTCACCTGTACACTCAGTATAATGGTAACATGAAAATTCATTGAAATTTATTATGTATAAAAAAATTTGCGAGACTTAAAAAAAAAGAAAAATTACCCGTTCTTCTCGAGTAGTAGTAGTTCCTTCTCCAAGATTTATATCTCTAGGTTGAAGTTCTAATAAAGATCCAAATAAATTTTCTGAAGCTTGGGTCAAGAAACCAATTTCAGCATTTGGATGCAAACCATATAAATGGGGACTTTCGGATAATATTGTTTCATCAATATATTTATGATAACCATTGTAATCCAGATTTGGAGGACAACAAATACCAGAAGCAAACATCAATTCTCCATCCAACTAAGGAGATTTTAATTTAAAATAAAATAAATTTTAAAAAATTAATAATTTAAATTAAATAGGATCAAGGGATTTCTTACTAATTCAGGTGCCATGTATTCTTCTAAATATGTTTTACATAATCTTCTATCCCAATCATCAGTTATATGACCTCCATACATTATTTCACCAAATAAATAACGTAAATCCTCCCAAGGGACTTTACTTGAATTTTCAAGATAATTTTGAAGGACATTGACACTGGAAAGAAAAGCAAACTATTAATTATTTGTATATTTGATTTCACTCTTTCAATCAAATCAGTTTTGATAAAAACAAAGCATAAAATAATTAAAAGCCAACAAACTTAACCTATAGAATAACATAGAAGATCCCAATGATTTTGTATAAATAAACTGACATTTTAAAAATGCAAGTTTTTAAAGTATTTTAGTCAGAAAAATTGGCATAAGCTACAATTTCCAACACATAGCAGGCAAACAGAATTGCTCCGCATGAATTCTGTGTACTGAACAGTTTCTATGTGCTATTAGTTTCTATGTTCATAATGTAGTAGTGCTTTTCAATTTGTTATGTCAATTTACAAGTAGATTATAAAGTTATATTCTCAAAGCATACATTATGATGATTGTATTATTCTATAGGTCTTAATAAAATACAGTAGAGCATCGATTATCCGACTCAATTGGGGACTCAGGTTGGTCGGATAACTGAAAAATCGGATAACCGAAAATAATGAAAAAAATACATTATTACTATGTAGTATAGTATATTAGTACATCCCATGTAATTAGTATATTAGTATATCGCTATTAACCAACTTCGCATTGAATTTTCATCGATGTTAAGCCTAACAAATTTTTTTTAAAATAATAATTGTCGCTATCGTATTGTTAAAAATTATTTTAAAATTATTTTATTGCTCACAAAACGAACAACCACTCATAATTAAAAAATTAAGTCTTGTTTAAATACTGGCCGCCCTTTTAATGGTCCAGCCATGTTGCCAGCTAAAGCATGCAAAAATTTAACAAAAATAATATTAACCCCTTTTTGTCCACTTTTTAAAAAATTTTTTTAATTAAACATAAAAAATACTTAAAACTGAAAAAAAACGAAAGAAATGCGTTAATTTTGGTTGAAAAGCTTCATCATTTAAGTTCCTTTGTCTCGCCTTTCTGTGAAATTTAACACCAATGAGTTATTGTTTACACATCTGGATGACCTTGATCACAGCTGGAGTCGGATTTCCGGGGCATTCTCATAGACGTCGCGGGAGGACAAGGGTTTAAAGTAGGGTGAATTCGAAATTCGCGTATATTTTTAAATATTTTTAAAAAATTATAATTTTTATTGCGATTCCGACCCCCCTAATTAATTAAACATATATATAATAAAATCTATTAATTAAAAAAATTAAAAAACTATCGGAGGTCGTTTTTGACATCAGAAAGCAGCTTTAAATAACTTTACCGAAGGAAAATCGGTGCACTACAACTTTAGAACGATTAATTAACTTTGATAAAAAACTCCCATTAAAAAACATTAAAAAGCAATAAAGCGTGAAGCGCGTGTCATTATAGGTTGATTAAAATCGCGATAAAATTTTTTCGCGCGGCCAAAAATTCTGAAAAAATTTGGGGACCTAAAAAACATTCCAAAAATTCAAAAAAAAAATTTTTTTCAAAAGTAGCCTTAACGACCGTTTTTTACGTAACGCTATAAAACTTGCTCCAGTCACACTCGAGCGCGGCTCAGAAGGGGAAGTAGCCAAGACATAGCCAAATATTGTAGTGCCACATCACTAGCGGACATTTGAAATTTGCCAACTAGAACAGTCGGTTAACCGATGTAACGGTTAATCGGGGGTCGGATAATCGATGCTCTACTGTAATATAATTAAAATTATTCTCTTTGTAATATTTAGCTGATAATATTAATTATAAAACTTCTATTACAAGAATTATCTTTAAATTTTAAATTTATTAGAATTAGCAATACTTACTTAAAGTAAATTGATATGATGTATAAATAATATTGGAAATGTTAAAATTTTTTGGAATGAATAAAGTTTATTTAAAAAAAAATTAATAGATAGATAAAAGTTGTGAATTAATAATATACTACTTATTAATGTAAATATCTTACAAAATTAATGTAATAAACTAAATTAATATAAAACTAAATTAATTAATATTAAAAGTTCTAGTTTTAAACTTTATCCAAGCTTCATTTTTATATACAGGTATCCCTTGTATAAAACAGTACAGTAATACTTCGGTTATTGTTGGTTTTGGTTTTTGTCAATTTTTTTGCAAAAAATTTGTCTCAGTTGCCTCAGATTTCATTGGTATGCCCATGTGACCTCACTGCTAATTTTGCAAAAACAAAGGGCAACCCACACATTTTCCTGTTAGTGTGGTGTTGTTTCTCGTTGTGTGAGCATTACCCCACACATCTAACCATTTTTCATTTTTTTCATTTTGTTTCATTTTCATAATACCTTTATTTAAAAGACCTCTGCTCCACAGAGGTCTTTTAAATAAAGGTTAAAATACAACTATAAATGAGGTAATAAGACGGAAGGGTTACATAATTACTGATTCATACATACATACAATTATAAAATAGAAAATATATACAGGAATCATTACAGTGCACTATATACACAACTGATACTAGCAAAATAGAATATACTTACACAGGAGAGGTAGATTTACCAAAATAATGAGTGCGGTGAATTGTAAAATAAAACATAATTAACAGATGAGGTACATGACAAGGCACATTATAAGCTACATAACCTAGGAGTAAATACAATAAGCATAGAAATACAATAATAATTTTCTGAATTAATTAGTGGAATGACATTAGGACAAAGAATAACACACATGGCTATCGATATGACAGAATAAATATATACACATATAGGCAAAGGTAGCAATTACAAAACATATAGATTACATATATACTTTTGACAATGTGATGAGGCTAGAAAACACAACACCTTTATGGAGGCCTTCTATTATTGCTCATATGCTTAAAATAGTCTTTGATGAGGCTTTTGAGCTCCTGAAACAAAGTGTCATTTTTTATCAACTCATGTGTAGGGCAAGGCCAGTGTATGCCAGCCACACCAGTAAGAAGTTGGAGCTTCAACCTATTACTTTCAGTCACTGGTAGATGTAGTGCAGTGGCCCATCCTCCATATTGCAAATGGTGCAGGTACCTTCTTCCTGAATTTTGAATCTTCGCAGGTAGCTGGCAAATGACCCATGCCCAGTCAGAAACTGGGCTTCCTCATGGGTGAAGAAACGTCTATTTTGTCCTATGTTATTGAAGATACCTGGGGAAAAAAGGGGAGTAATTGCATCTGTGTTTTCATTGTTCCAGTTATGTTCCCAAGTGCAGTTACACTCTCCTGAAAATAGCTCTAGCACTACTCTTTGTTATTGCATTGTGAGCATAAACACCTTTACTGTCCTCAGCAGCCTGCCTGGCCAGAGCATCTGCTCTGTCATTCCCAAGCAGGCCCTGGTGCCCTCTAACCCAGGAAAGGGCAAAGCTGTTGTTACTCTCCAATGCCAAATGATTAATTTTGCTGACAGTAATTAGAGTACACTTGATATCCTGGAACACATCTAGCCAAGCAATTCAATTGCTTTCCTATCCTTTTAGTTCCATAATGGGACTAAAGAAAGTTTCCAAAGCCAGCAGCCCTTTGAAGAAGGCCAGGAACATGATTGAGTTGAAGAAGGAAATCATTGAAAAATACAAGTGGCATTAAGATTGCTGAAATATACCACATATATGGGAAGATGCCATTCAAGATAAGTTCCATTGAAGCAAAAGAGGAGGATAATGTCTTTCACTACATTATCCTCCTCTTTTGCTTCAATGGAACTTATATGCATGAATGTGATAACGGAACAAAGCTCGCAAACAATTGAAGATGTCAAACAGTTATTATTAATTTGGATCAATGAAAACTATTATATTAATTTCTTATCGTTTTTAGTATTAAACACTATATTTATTCTCTATAAAATGTGTTTTTGGTATGGATTTTGGAGTATCTAGAATGAATTAATTAGATTTACATTGATTCATATGGAAATAATTGCCTCAGTTTTCATTGGTTTTTGGATTTCGTCAATTATTTTTGGAAAGATTATCAGCAAAAACCCGAGGTATCACTGTAGTTATATTCTGAAAAAGTTCCATGTTATGCAAATCTATGTTATACAAAACAAAGAACTGATACAAATCATGGGAGTTAGGTTCCAAAAGTTAACAAAAGTATACTATTTTTTTCATTACCAAGAGAAATATGTTTATTAAATTAGAGAAGAATTACCATTAACATTATAAATATCAAGCTTTTTCTTGTTAGTCTCTTGAACATTTTTCACTGTAGGCAATGTATCAGCATTAACTACATAAGATCTGTTTTCCAAACAAATCATTATACTTAACTAGTGCAGTTATGCTTTTTTTATGTGTATATTTAAAAGTAAAGTCTGCCATTTAAATATTTATATTAAACTGATAATATTAAAAACTATCCAACAATCAAAAATTATACTTGGTAAGTCAATATTTCTGAAGATGGATCATGGAGCAATGTATCAATAAGTTTAGTATATTACTTAAAATAATTAAGTAAAACAATTTGTAAATATACTTTCTGATTTATTTACATAAATGTTATAAATTATAATACCTTATAATTAGATCACCAAAATTAAATGGATAAATTTTGTTCCATCCTTGAGGTCCAAATTTACGTCTTTCTGCAACTACTGCATGGAAATAACACAATGAAAATAAAATACTTTTGAATTCCATTTCTTTAGAACATGATTCTAAAACATCCTGAAAAAAATAATAATCTCAATTTTATATATGATTAAATTTTTCATTAATTATATTTTCAATTCATTATCACTCAACATAATTCCCTAGATTTTATACTCATTTAAAAAGCATGGATTATTACAAAATTTAAATGAATTCAATATTTCAATATTGTTCATTTGAAACTAATTACTAATTTAATAGAAATATTTCATGTCTTTGATAGTCTCAGTAAGTAAGTATTTATAAAAGTTAATGATGCAAAATATTAGTCATATTGAATATTCTAATTTTTCAATTAGTTACTTGATACTTTCATCATAAATAAAAAATTTTTATTTACTACTAAATATTTTACAATGACAATATATTCACAGCTATATTTAAATTAAAAACATCTCTTTAGAGACATTAAGAGCATAACATCTCTTAATCAAAATATATACAGTACTAGCTGTTATCACGACTTTGCCCGTGCAGATTTTCAAGCAAACCCCATTTATATTCAGTATTTCAACAACCATAGTAATTGTTATATAACACCTACCGCTAGAATGATGAGAATTGCCGAGAATCAAATGAACTGTTTTCAATTTGATCAATTTTCTGGAACATTTACAATCATTCTATAATCGAACCAATATGCAATAACAAATTCAAATTTAAAACGGTTCGAACATTTGGTTAAAAAATCAAAATATATAAAAATATTTATAACAATGTCTGAAATGTTATCAATTTAATACATCTAAGTACTCAATGTAGTTGAAAACAAAAAATTGCATCTAAAATAGTACAGTAGAAGCCATTCTTCAGGTTAAGCCTTAATCCTCTTCCTCTCTCCCCATGGGGAAATTTCGAAAAATCCTTTCTTAGTGTGTGTTTTCATGACATACCAACTGTGTACAAAATTTCACCTCTTTAGGTTCTGCGGTTTGCTCTGGGCAATGATGAATCAATCATTCAGTCAGTCAGTCAGTCAGTCAGTCAGTCAGTCAGGACAAGTAATTTTATATATTTAGATATATACAAGTGTTGTATCAAAATCTATAATTGTAACAAAATTTATGGAATTTTTAAACAATTTACATAAATATAGGTGGAGAAGAACCTATAAAGGAAGGTCGACCCCATCAGTGTTGATTGTGTTCCAGTGATTGTGAAAGGATATTTTGATTAGATGTTTAGAAGACTTTGAAAGTTTTTTAAGTCTTCAATGTTGTTTGTTTATGTAATTTTAATACATATATTTCATTCTGAATTTATTTTTAAAAATATTTTTTGCAAAATATGCAATTAAAACAATTAATACATATGTTGTCCTTGTACTCACTTATTCTTTTGAAGTTATACACTGAACATGCACAGATCTCAAGCAACTCCAAAAGAAAACACAGACAACACTTACTAAGCATAAATCTAAGAAAGACTAAAGAAGGTCATGGCCACCTTCTTCCTCATAAAAAGGGTGGCCATGGCCTGATTAATGTAAAACCTCCACTATTAATATAATTAACCTCCACTGGTTATTAATATAATTAACCACTGATTAATATAATTAACCTCCACTACAAACAAATTCTGATACTGCAGGAGTTTTTCCACAAAAATCAAGAAACATCAAGATTTCATAAAGCTTGATGTTTCTTGATTAACCTTGAGCTTGATTAAGCTTGATCAAGAAACATCAAGCTTTATGAAATCTTGAAACATCAAGATTTCATAAAGCTTGATGTTTCTTGATAGTACCAACACATTGTTAAACTTACACTCTGTCCACCTGGATATAAATCAATAAATAAATAACATAGACACCATTAAGCAGTCATGGACCCAAAACACACTTCTTGTCAGGCATGCCTATGACCTAGCTCAGGACTATGTTGACCAAACTGCATCACACTATTGGCTGGCTAGGGGTGCCTGTTTGGAGAGACCAAAGAGTTCACGGTTACCATTCAAGATCTGATCATAAACACTAAAAACTACAAAAAACATATTCTGAAGGATACATCACTCACAAATGACTCTTGCAGAAAATGTCCAATTCTGCCAGAAATAATACAACATAGTTGCAAGTTCTTTAGTTGCAAGCTCTTAGCACAGACTATTTACATAGGCATAATCAAATAGTAAATACAGTGGTACCTCAGGATACGAAATTAATCCGTTCCGACACTGAGATCGTATCATGAAAATGTCGTAAGGTGAATCATTTTTTCCCATACGTTTACATGTAAAACCAAATAATTCGTTCCAATACGAAAAACACACTCAAATTAAAGCTAAGTAATACATTAAAAAAATAATAACTATAGTAAGGAAAACACTGAAAAATGCATTTTGTGGTTGTAAATGTATAAATAACCGTAATAGAATAATAATTGATTAAAAACAAATGTAGTTTTATTTGCACTTTACCTTTGAGGATAGACGACGGTGGAGGTGTAAACTGGTGGCGGAAGAGAGGGAGAAGGGAAATGATACTAAAACTTAACTTACATAACATAATGTAACAATAACTTAAAAATAACTTAGAAAAGATTAAAAAAATTAGTGTTGTTTTATATATATATTTTTAAATTTTTATTCACTGCTTTTTGCTTTCTTTCCTTCACTTCCACCAGCACTTTCACTGGATAGAGGTCGCTTGGTAAAATATCTATCCAAAGAGGTTTGGCTTTGCCTACTTTTTAAAATGTTTCTAAAATGACTTAGGCAAATGTCATTACTCCGAGCAGCAATACGGCCAGTGTGAACCTTTTCGGGATGTTTCTTTTCAATAAAATCAGTCACTTTCTGATAATACCTCGAGATTTCCTTTATCGAGCGAGATCCTTCCATGACGAAGCAAACACGCGGACTGAGACAGACGAACAGAAGTAAATAAAAAATGGCCCTGCAAACTAATGTAATGTCGCATGATGAGTTTTTGTTCGTATCGTGGAGCAAAAATATGTTCGAATTTCATGTCATATCCTGAAAATTTCGTATGCTGGGGCATTCGTATCCTGAGATACCACTGTATAATATACAAATAGCTTGCACATAAACACAGTTTACTAAACATCCAGGTTTCATACTACAAATATACTCCACAGTCTATATTAGATAATGACACAAAATATACTATGATAGAGCCATAATCACAGATAAAAGAATTCATCATAATAGACATCACTTTTGTTGACAACTGTAATAAGATTGCTTATATAATAGACATTTCTGCTCCAAACACTCATAACATGTGCAAGGCCCTGGACTGGGATGAAAAACATTCTTTTAACCAAAAACCGAAACAAAAACAAATCTTGATCTTCGTGATTAATTAAAATTAAGGGAATTAAATTATAAAGGAAAAAGGGAAAAAACAAAATTATTTTAATATTAAAACCCCACAAAAAAGAGAAAAATTAGTAAATTAAATTTTTTATTTAAAATTTTTTAAAGACAAGACAAACAAAAAAGGAAATGCTAGTTAAGGTACAAGGTTCGTTCAACACTGAATGAAAGACGGTGTCGAATTGTATTCATAAACAATCATCCTTCTCGGGAACTGATCTGGTCTAATTTCACCTGGTAACAGAGAAAGACCAATCTGTGACCGAGAAAGGGAATTAATAACCAATAAAGTGATTATTTGTGAGACAAAAAGGTATTTAAGCCCAGGCTAAAGGACACTTCGTTCTTTGCTGTAGCAACCTGTGAGGCTGTGTCCCTCATTGGGGTGCTTCCTGCAAGGTTCCATCTTCATCCTTTGCCAATTTATCCTCCAAAAGTTATAGACCTTTGTTGAGAGAAACTTTGGGCATTCCAATCTGCATTCTTCAGACATTGTTTCCTGTTCAACAACTGGACTTAGAATGCAACATCCAGTCAGCGAATGGAAACCACCTTCATCACTGGACTTTTCTCTTCTTCTTTGAAGACTATGCACTGAAGTATACAAAGACTTAAACCCTTTGTGACTATAAACTTTTTGTGAGTTAAATTGTCTAATAAATGGGTTGTGTTGTTTGTAAATGAGGCATTGATCTCTGACTCAACCACTCCCACATGACATTGACTGACTGTTACCGCTCAGCAGTCCAGATGGCAATGGAAACAATAATGATATCACATATATTTGCTATTTTTCATTTTAAAATTTCTTTCCCTCAGCCCCCTCACACATGAAAAAGGCTCACACTGAAAAAATCAACAAGTGCACTCCACTTACTCAAGAAATAAAGAAACTGTGGAGAATGCATAGTGTGTTGTGCTTACTGTCCTTTCTTCCTCTGGTGTCATAACACACATTATACAAAAGTCTAGAAACTTTAAACCTTAATTAAAACACTTACATGACACTACAGAAAACTTCAATATTGAACACATTAAGAAATTTCTAGATGTGGACACACAAACCAATTACACAGAAGCTTAATGTTGTTGGGTAGCTATGCCTTGATTTTAGTCTGGCATAGCACTTGGCACCAGTATTAGCTGAGCATGGTATTTGCAACATAAGAAGCAATAGTAATGTAAAAATATTAGTTAATATTTCAAGGATTTAAATAAATAGTAAAATGTTAAGATTTAATAATAATAATGAATTTAATATATTATTCTAAGAATGTAATTCCAACTATTGAATATTATAAAGTTTTTCATTGTTTAGAAGAATGACATTCAAAATACAAAGTTTAATTTTAAAATTACCTGATCAAAATTATCAAAAGCTCTGTGTAGATTTGCAAGCATTCCTCTAGGAGGCTCATTAGTAATTTTAATTGCTGATTCTAAAATTCCATGGGGAATAATATGTGTTTCTGGACTTTCTGCAGGCTCTGCACTCATAAATACACGGAAATTTGGATGACTATCTTCAAAATATTGTTCTAATTTTTTTTCAAGGTTGGGTAACCACTTTTGAACTAGATGAATATTCTAAGAAAAAAAAAATTATAATATAATTTGAATAAATTTTGCTTATTATATTTTAAAACTGTAACCATTGAATCAAAAAGTTTGTTCATATACACTTTGTATCATTACTAGATTTACTATATATCTTTGAATTTACTTCTGGTTTCAGTTGTACTTTGTTTAAAATAATGCAGTATAAAAATGCTCTATTGAATTATTGGAGAATATCCGTTAAGATGAGAAATATGTTGTAGAATATATGGTTTTCAGAAATTTGTACCTACATTCTTTGAAATATAAATAGTATAAGTTTGATACATTTGGATTACAAATTTCTATGGCGAAATATAATGTATGATACAAAATAGAGTACACTTAAACTTTTTGTTTTGGTTTTGGAATAATGTTTGATACAATATATTTGATTTACAATCAAGAGTTATTTCTGTAAAACCTTGTCTAAGACTTGATATATATCTGCAAGAACAGTAATAGATTACTGGAGTAATAGATTATTAGTGTTGTTATATATATAGAAATAACTGAGTTGCTGATATTTTAAAACTAATTCCCAATCCAATAAATCTTGTAAGTCAGTTAAAGTATCTGTAGTTAAATGTTGATATTTTAGGACTAATTTAATATCTAATTTTTGTATGTTATTTTTAATGAATGTATTTGATAGATTTTGATATTGCAATATTTTTTCCAATCAATAGAGTAACTGTATTTATTAATAAATTGATCATTTAATGATTGATACTGAGAAATTAAATCCCATTTTGCATATTTAATATTTCTTCAATAAATGAAATTGGAAATTTATAATTTTTCCATATATAATTCTAATTTAATTTATCAACAAAGTCATAAATAAATTGCTGACTTAAATTAGATCTTTGACTTATTATTTCCCAGTTTACAAATTCTTTAAAATGATGAAAACTGTTTTCATCTACTGGTAAAGAAGAATATTTTTCCCAATCAATTGGCATGGTAGGTGGCTTGTAAGTCTAAAAAGTAAAAAAAACAACAGATTATTTATTTATTTCTTTGGATAAACCACAGTCTCTCAGAATGTGAATTAAATATTTTTGGCAAATTCTTTCTTTCCTCAAACTGTTTTTAAAAATCTTCAAATTTCTTAAATATTCCAATAAAACAATGCATAAAATTATTGAATATTTTAAAAAAGTTAATATCTTTAATTAGTCTTTATGTTATAATGAAACAGTTTTAATAAGTACAAACAAAAGTATACTTAATACCAAGTCCCAATTCATCCCATTTTTACTGGGACAGTTACAGTTTTTGATAAAATGCCCCAATGTCACAATTTTTTCCCAAATGTCCTGCTTTTTACAGGAAATAAAATGCATATGTAGACATGGTATGACGATATAAGGAATTAGCATAGTGTTACAGAATGAACATCGACTATAAATTGATGCACTGGCAATTTTGGCAATTTATTTCTGTTTCCATCTAACAACTCTGTCCAACAGTCTGATTGGACAGACAGTTCACACACACACGACAGTTTGAACATGTTATACTACTTATAGATTTGTAGATTCTTATAATTTTTATTGTTTTTCATCCACATAATGCTGAAACATAAGTGCAGTATAATTGATAATATTAGAAGAGAATATCCCTTTATTAAAGGTGTAGATAAAAACGTGTAATGTACATTTTGTAACTAAATTTTTCATTTCACATGATGGTTGGTCAGACATAGTCAATCAAATAAAAATGAAAAAACAAAAAAATTCTGTACAAAGTAACGTTTCCATTAAATCCCATTAATATAAGTAATATAAGTAATTTCTTAAATGTGAAAACCTGAAGTGAAATCGATAAACAGTTATCACTGGCAGCACAGGAGGCAACCTTTGCTTATCACATGGCAGCTCATAACCACAGCTTTAAGTCCATAGACTTAAAGCTGTGGTTATGAGCCATAGACTGCACAACTGCTACCATAAAAAACTTTTCAATCATAAATTCAGATGTTCGCAAACAAAGTGCAAGCAATAGCCACTAATGTTATTGCACCATTTGCAATAAAGCAGATTAATGAAGACCTCAAAGAAGAAGCTTGTTTCATATCAGTATTAATCGATGCATCTAACCACTTGGACAAAAAGTTACTACCTCTAGTTGTAAGATATCATGAAGAAAAAGGAATTAAGGTGAAGGTGTTAGAGTTATTTAATTAAGAACTGTTATTTTCTTGTGTCGGAAGTGTTAGAGAAGTTTGATCTAGAAAAGGTTATATTTATATCAGCAGATAAAACATATATGAACTTTGGTGGAAAGAAGAGAAAGGAAAAGAATAATTTGTACTTCAAAATGCAAGAAAACACTACCAATAATTTAATTGGCATTGGTTGTCCTGCCCATGTGATACATAATACTGTGTAGATTGCTGCAGATTGCCTACCTATAGATCTTGAATTAATAGTTAACAAGATTTACCAACATGTCCACATTTATATGTATGAGCTGAGGAACTCCAATTATTTTGAAAATTCACCAACACAGAGTATAAAACTGTTTTAGGTAACAGCAAGACAAGTAGACCCTCTTTCTTTCCTGCAATCGAGTGTGTCATTGACCTTTTCCCAGCATTGAAGTCATATATCCTTTCCATTGACAAATGTCCTACCATGTCACGACATGGTGCATTTATCGACACTTGGCACAATACATACATTTTAATTCATACAGAAACGCGTTTCGGGCTTCCGCCCCTCTTCAGTCTGTTACATCGATAGTATACGGTATCAGTCCGTATCAGTATTGTGCCAAGTGTCGATAAATGCACCAAGTCGTGACATAGAATCAGAAGAAACAAGAAAAAGAAGACACAGTTTCGACAAATAACTAAAAAAAATGTCCTACCAGTCGAAATAATTTGTTTGAGAATTCACTTTCACTTATACTTCTACATTTCCTTGCTAGCCAGTTAAAAACCGTTTCTGATAACATCAAATATGTTGAAAAGCAAGAAATAACAACAATGGAAGTGAAGGATGAAATAAACAAACTTGTGGAAAAGTTAAGTTGCAGGAAGGCAGAAAAGTTTCTTATTACTACTGTAAGAAATCAGTTGCAAGAATTAGAAAAGAAGGGCACATAAAAGTTGAAAATTATGCAGTAGATTTCTATGACACTTGCATTGAATACTCCAGTAGTAGTATACACTATTTCTCATTCCTCTCCAGTCTAAGGATTGGGTCAATTTGTAGAGAAGGAGCCCATGACTTGGAAGAATATACAGTAAGAAAGCCAGATATTTTATGAATATGTAGCATACAAGAAAGCTACATATTTCATGAGGAAAGTGTCACCAAATTTTACTGTGAATGAAGAGACTTATTTAATGAGTTTGCATGTGTGAAAAAATATTGTAAAAGCAAATTTGAAGTACAGAGTGAACTGAAAGATCAAAGTGTCAGTGAAAAATGGTGTGATATATTTCTTATTTTACAAAGCAGGATATAAATGTTGATAACATAGAATGCCTAGTTAGTTTTTGTTTGGTACTGCCAGAATCCAATGCAGCTGTTGAATGTGTTTTTCATTAATAAATACATTGTGGACAAACCAAGAAAAAACAGACTTAAATTGAGACAGTGAAGGCTTTAACCATTTTAAAGACCCATTTTAAGGATTTCTCTTGTGCTGAGTTCTATGTCCAAATATCAAAAGAAAAAATACTTCTTGAATAGGTCTATAAATCTGATAAATATTCTAATGAATCTAAAATATAAAACTATTATGTATATTTTAAAGCTGCAACTTTTCTAATTAAGTATGTTTGTGAATATTTTTTTGCAGTATAATTGTTTTTTCAAAAAAATTCAACTTTAAAAAAATAAAAACAATACACACATTATGTTAATTATTGTTATGTCAGTATATTATTTAAAGTGAAATATAAAATATTTAATAGATTTATTTTTGATTTTCTTCATTTTTAACATGTCCTTTTTAAATGTCCCAGATTTTATAATAAAAATGTGGGAATATCCCAGTTTTTAAAAAAACATTATCAGAACCCTAACTTAATACATGTAACTGCATCATGTTTTTCTTCTTTTATTATCTGAATCATTTGACTTTTCTTTTGCTGAATTAAATAAAAAGTATCTGAGGTTTTATTTCTGTTTGTTTTTTTTGTCTTCTATAAGAAAAATACATTAGTGTTGCTCTTAGCATAATCATTAAAATAATATTTTTATATGTCTTTTTTAAAGTTCTAAAAAGAATTTATGATTTTTATATTATTTAGATAATGTATTATAAAATTCTAATAAAATTAATTATATCTATTCAGTTTATTCAAAATCAAAAGTAAAATGTAAACAAAATTTTATATAAAAAGTTAATATATTTAGTACATTTCTAGCTATTACAGTAGACTCCCCTATAACACTGTTGATAATTCTGTGTTATATGAATTCCATGTTGTACGAGTCACTTATATTTTACAAATATGTGACCGTTCACAGCCCGGCACACATATTTGTAAAATCTAAGTGACTTGTACAACATGGAATTCATATAAAACAGAATTATCAAGTGTTATAGGGGGTCTACTATACACTGTTTAATGTAATTTTACATTTACAATACAAAAAAAATTCTCTCATATTAAAAATAATTACCTGCAAAATAACCCAATGTCCTTTCTGACTAGCAATATCTAAAGCATTTTCAGCAACTATTTCTTGACCTTGGCCCAAAGATACATTGTGAAAATTTTTATTATCTGTAGTATATCCCATTTTTTCTCCATGATTTTCAACATCTTTTAATGGGTCAACTCCAGGTGACAAAATAAAAAAAATTGGTGTGCTAGGTGAGGATTCTTCAAATGATTTGGAAAATTCAATGTTTCTACTTTCAACATATTTGTTTCCTAACTTTTCTTCTATAAATAATCTTTAAAATATCAATGACAAACAATCAGTTATCAATAAAAGTTTATTCAAATTTACTTGTAAATATCATATATTTTCATTTTCAAAATTAAAAAATTGTATAATATTATATTATTAGCTGACAGACCTGGCAAATGCTTGGGTTATTTTAAGAAAACATCAGATGTGAAAATTACACACAGTTGGTAACTATATATGTTGCAACAGAAGCAATACTTGCTTCTGTTGCAGTGTCAATGAATTTCATCACTTTTCTTTTGGTCCTCTCTTAATAAAATAAAATTTGTTTTATTTATGTATCTTTGCATAGACTTGTTCCATCATATTTTATAGAAATATTTAAAAAAGTTAAAACATTTCTCTCACACAACAATGAAAGTAATTCTTAGTATAGCAATTTGTAACAAAACAATTTAAAGTGATATATTTGAGAGGCAATGATTATATTTTAAAGAAATATCAAAAGTAGATACGAAATAATAGTAATGAGATTTTTTAAATACTTTCAAAATATTCATGCATCCTCAGGCTTTATGTTGGAGGCAATAAAGTATATTACAGGTAACCCCATATAACACGATAGTTACGTTCCAAAAAATTGCCATGTTATGCGAATCAAAGAACTAGTACAAAAAGGAGGGTTAGGTTCCAAAAATTAAAAAACATGCTACTATATTTTCATAATTAAGTTAAATATCTTTATTAAAATTTTCTTAAGTGANTTTAAAGTGATATATTTGAGAGGCAATGATTATATTTTAAAGAAATATCAAAAGTAGATACGAAATAATAGTAATGAGATTTTTTAAATACTTTCAAAATATTCATGCATCCTCAGGCTTTATGTTGGAGGCAATAAAGTAAATTACAGGTAACCCCATATAACACGATAGTTACGTTCCAAAAAATTGCCATGTTATGCGAATCAAAGAACTAGTACGAAAAGGACGGTTAGGTTCCAAAAATTAAAAAACATGCTACTATATTTTCATAATTAAGTTAAATATCTTTATTAAAATTTTCTTAAGTGATACAGATGAATATAAATTAAACAATGTTTTCTTTGTCATCACTAAAAGCACTATTAACCGAGAACGTTTTATTTTTGGCAAGTTATCGTTATCCTCTGAGCATTTTTCTGCATTATTTTCAGATTCATGCTTTACCTTTTGCAAAAAGTGTATGTAATTTTAGATTGCTTGCTCAGAGCCGGTCCTACCATAGGGCGAATGGAGCAGCCGCTTCAGGTGCTAAGTCCTAGGGGCGCCTCAGTGGTAAAGAAAATTAAAGGAAAAAATATTTTTTTCACTTTTTGATATTTTAATTGCAAGCGTGTGGCCAGTATGTGAATGGTCTTATTTGTTGAGACACGCGTGGATCGGGTGCATGGGCGGGGTTCCACCTCCAGGCGCCATAATAGGATCGCGCTCCATCCTAAAACTTGCCTAGGGCCGGCACTGTGCTTGCTTCTAGTGAAAAGATCTTTATAAATTTCCTTATATGGTGCTAAGCACTTATGGAATAAGGGAAAAACATCTGGCAACACCAGAAGCAAGACGTGTCGAGATATGGCAAAATTGAAACAATTTTCGCAAAGGACCATGTGTATGGAGACGAGAAAAGAACATTTACACACTGATGTACTAATAGTTCACGAAAATAATAATTTTCGTGAACTATTAGTACTTAAGTATGTAAAAATTTATTACATTTCATGTTGTACGAGAGTTTTACCCATTTCTTGAACTGTGTCAAACTGTGCTTTATAACACGGTGCTATAAAAGTACCGTGTTATACGGGAGATGGTACCAATTCTCAAACCATGTTAGAGTGAATCCGTGCTATAGAAGTGCCATGTTATACGGGGGTTACCTGTACTAGTATTCAAGTGAAAAGACACTGATTAAAAAGTAATGACATCAGAGCTGATTTTAGTGAGTTGTATATTGTAATTTAGCATACATGCTCTTAATAATTAAATTGTTTTATTGATTTGTTATTTCCAAAATGGAAGAAAATTAATATGAAGTTAAGTGTGTTGTGTTTTCAGTGGCAAATTGGTCTATAGGTAGTGATGTCAAAGATTTGTTTGATAAAATGAACTTTTCAGTCATTTGAATCATTTTAAAGAAATTTGCAGACATTTATAAATCTTTTTAAAATATAATGGATCAAGTTTATTGGAAAGATATAAATAACAAGAAAGATAAATTCCTTGGAAAAAGTTGAGATAAAAGTTCAAAGACACTGTACATCCGAACATGTCTACAAAGACTTCACCCAGATATAATACTGTCACAAACAAACAAAATTTTACTTTTATTTATAATTTCAAGCATATAAAATTAAAAAATTAAAATATAAACTGCTTTAAAGAAAAAAAATATTTCCATCGTAGGTAAGATAATACTAAGACATTCAGATATAAATTTTATATTTTATTTCAGTAAATAATTACTGAACAATTATTTTTTAAGTATAATACTTTTCTATTAAATTACAGAGATTAGAAAATATTTATATTAAAAAATAATGAAAAACAACTTCATGTTCTTTAAAAATAACAACAATAATAACGAGCAATTATTTATTGTGACATCATCACAATGCTGGGCTACAATTTTTAATATATATAATTTAAAATATATGTTCTCCACCATAAATTAGTAGTGGCTTGCCCCTGTACATCATACTTTTCCTTCCTTGCACCTGTCATCTATCTAATTCCTTTCAGGGAAAAATTTTTGAATTGTTTTTTGCTTTTGGTTTACATTATAAGTTTGTATATAGTTAATTGGGGACTCCTGTCCCTAAAGTTTCCATATCTAGTCTCATCTTTCATCTATCTAACTCCATTCTTGAGATTAAGGAAAGACAAATGGACAGATGACAGTTGGAATTTATAGGTCTCCAAGTTTTTCAAATTGCAACCCAATAATCTGCTCTATTGAAGTTCACTTTAAGAACAGTTTTTCCTCAAGCATTTTCAGACAACCAAATCAAGTGTCATCAGACACACTGTGTCTCTTGATGGTGGACTTAGTTTTCCAGAAGTGCTTGAGGAAAACAGAATAGTCTACTATTGAAAACAGATGCATGCCAATGTTTAAATAATGTTTCACAGAAAAAATGATCTTTTATTATGATAACTTTAATGAAGCCTCTATCTGACTGTTATCTTGATATCTCTGATTATTTATATCTATGGTATAAAGTACGAGGATGATTTTTTCCAACCTCCGATAGTTCATAAAACAAAGACAAGTGTAAATGTAAGAACGCCGATTGGGGAGATTTTATTCCCTACCATCGGGATAGCTCTAAGGTCTACACATATGTGGGTGGTGATTTTAAGAGGCAGCAAAAGACAAGTGTTTCACAGAAACCGTTTATTCTTGTTGAAAATGCTTACATATTTTTTTAGCAAAGGTCCTTAAGTTCAGAACTTTGGGTTGTCTTTGGAAGTTGTTTTCGGAGCCAATCTGGTCCTACGCTGGAGGGGCCCCGTGACAGTGTTGAGTGAAAAGTTCGAGATCTGAAGTGACAGTACACGAAAGATGAAAGGAAGCACAACAGCTGGAGGCAAATGAACACAACAGGTAGTCTAGTGGAAGCTCTTTTTGTCCTTGAAATTGGTGTTTTTATAAGTTTTTTGAGATTGACTCGTTGTTAATTGGACAGACTTTTCCTCATTGCTTTCCAATTGGTCTTTCACCTGTCTCCAGGTGTAAACGGAACTTTGTATAGTTCACAGAAAAGGTCGGCTGGAGATGGTTTATCCAACACCATCTTTTAGACTCTGATTGCATTTAATCGTTGACTATGACACCCGAGCTCATTCTGATATTTTTCAAGTTTTGTTTTGCTTTGTAAACTGTGTCTTAAATTTTTAAATTTTAAATTTTCTTTTTCTATATCTAAAATTTTGTTTTTTCCTCACTCTTTATGAGTGTTGACGTCAAAGTCTGGTGTCACCGACTTGACACTTATATAATTTGTTTTCTTGACAGTTTAACTTAACAAAATTTTACATATCCCTTTCTTTGGGGGCTATTTCCGGGGCCTCACATAAATAACAAAATGAATTTATTACCAAAAGTTAGGTACAAGCATGTTTACTTTTTGACATAATCACCGTGAAGATTGAGACATTCATCATATCTATGGACAAGCTTTGCAATCCCCTCTTCATAAAATGTTGCTGCCAGTGACTTGAGATGGGCTTTAACGCTGTTTTGAAGATTGTAATTAGTCTTGAACCTCTGCCCTCCTGACCACGTTCAGTTCAGGAAAGAGGTGGAAGCCACTCAGCACTAAATTGGTGCTATATGCTGGGTGTTTAAAAAGTTTCAAGCTGAGCGGAAGTCTGAAAGGTGGATGTCTTCACACACCTTTAATATGTGAAGACTTCCACCTCTTTCCTGAACTGAAAACTTGGCTAGTAGGGCAGAAGTTTGAGACTAATGATCTTCAAAACAACATAAAAGCCCATCTAAAACCACTGGCGGCAACTTTCTATGAAGAGGAATTGCAAAGCTCGTCCACAGATATGATGAATGCCTCAATCTTCACGATGATTATGTCAAAAAGTACTCATGTTTGTACCTAACTTTTGGTAATAAATTCATTTTGTTATTTACAATTGTCTTTGTTTTATGGACCATTGGAGGTTGGAAAAAAAAACGCCCTCATAATTTAATATAAGATTTAAAAAATTCCTAATAAAATTTTATATCATAATAAGACAAAAATTTTGTGAAAAGTATCTTACAGAATTGCATAAACCATTCTATCTGGTCTGAGACATCTCATCATACATAATCTCTCTAATGCTATTTTGTTCTTCCATTCTTGAGGAAATTTTTCTTTCTCTGGTGCTTCACTATCTACAAATTTATACCAACGTTTTGCAGAGCCTTCAATTTCTTTATCAAGATTTCTGAATTGATCCATACTTGAAAGTACCTACGACAAATAAAATCATGATGATAATTTTTTTTATAAATAAATTAATTATTTTATTACTAATTCAATTAACTAATTTTAATTAAATACAATGTACAGTGAAATTCTTTTAGCCCAGCAACTAGTTTGCCAGCAAATCAAATAAACCAGCATTTTGTGCTTGTCCTTGGGAGAGGGTTACTGGTGCACTAGATAGGTTTAGAGTTCAGATTTCATGTCAAAGCACTCAAAATGCACAATTATTGGAAGAGAATGTAGGTTCTCCTTTTAGAGATGACAAATGCTAAGGCAACATAATGTTGTGCTAGATAAAACCAGTTGTGCATGATTTTTCTTAATGTTAAAAAACATCAAAGTATTTCTTTGTCTCAGAAATAGAATATATTTGCTATTAAATTATGATCATATTTATCTGATATCAAAATTATTTTAGAATTGTATTTTGTAATTGTACTTTGTCATATCAATAATAGCTAAAAAGTTAAAAAATTATATAATCTTAAACATTTTCTTTGAAGGCAAAGATATTAGTATATGAATATATTCAGCAATTTCAAATTATTATGGTATTATTAATTAAAACTATTTTTATTTTAGTGAATACTTCATTAATACTTTATATAATATTCAAACAACAACTAATAAAAAAAATAAATAATTATACTTACTTTAATAGCTCCCCAGCTATAATTTGAAAGAAACTGAACAGGACTAATAGAATTTGGAACTGATGGAAATCTCAGAAGAAAATCCAATAAAATTGGGTCTATTTCATCATTCATTTTAAGTATCTGTAAATATTTATACATGAATAAGAGTAAAATTGAAACAAAATATAAATAACATTTACAGATATAAGAAAAAATATATATTTATTTCTAACAGTACTTTATAGATATTTAAAAAAGAAAATATTGAGAGTTATTTCAAAAATAAAAGTATTTCTAGAATATAGTCCAGAAGAATTAATTCAGAAAGATTAGCACAGACAAATAAAACAATTATTATCTGATTCATCACAACATTTGAACAAAGACTATTTACTTATATTTTTCATGAATTTTTAGAATATTAATTTGAAGTTAAGATTTTATTTTCAGTGATATTTAAACTAGTGTAAAATAATAAGGATAATTCCATTGCTCACAGTACTAAAATCTTATTAATAAAAAAAAATTAATGGCAGCTTGTCCTTAATTATCATAATCAGTTCCACCAAAGTGATTTTTGTCTTCAGGAAAGGAACAAGCCCCTTTTTTTGTCCTCCTTAGTGGTGCAGTATGCTCAGTTATTTAAATAATTTCAATGTTTTGAAATTATTTAAATAACTGATAATTGAGTTTAACTCCCTCTGAGTTAAAAAAAAGTTTGTGTTCTTTTTAATTAACTTTGCAACTTCCCTTTTATCAGTTCTGCTTCTAAGGAAAGGAAAATGTTTGGTTCCTTAATTTTCAGTGTATTGCATTTCTCAACATTTTTTAAAAGTATTTTACCTAGTACATCCACCATCACCCACCTACTGTCCCTTATTTCCCTCATTTATTTTGACTTCTCCCTTTCCCCCTGTTGGCAACCTCACACCCCTCTGTCAAACCTGAAATCAAATCTCTAATCATTCAACCTCACATTTAGACTTTACATGTATAATTTAANTTGACGTCAAAGTCTGGTGTCACTGACTTGACACTTATATAATTTGTTTTCTTGACAGTTTAACTTAACAAAATTTTACATATCCCTTTCTTTGGGGGCTATTTCCGGGGCCTCACATAAATAACAAAATGAATTTATTACCAAAAGTTAGGTACAAGCATGTTTACTTTTTGACATAATCACCGTGAAGATTGAGACATTCATCATATCTATGGACAAGCTTTGCAATCCCCTCTTCATAAAATGTTGCTGCCAGTGACTTGAGATGGGCTTTAACGCTGTTTTGAAGATTGTAATTAGTCTTGAACCTCTGCCTTCCTGACCACGTTCAGTTCAGGAAAGAGGTGGAAGCCACTCAGCACTAAATTGGTGCTATATGCTGGGTGTTTAAAAAGTTTCAAGCTGAGTGGAAGTCTGAAAGGTGGATGTCTTCACACACCTTTAATATGTGAAGACTTCCACCTCTTTCCTGAACTGAAAACTTGGCTAGTAGGGCAGAAGTTTGAGACTAATGATCTTCAAAACAACATAAAAGCCCATCTAAAACCACTGGCGGCAACTTTCTATGAAGAGGAATTGCAAAGCTCGTCCACAGATATGATGAATGCCTCAATCTTCACGATGATTATGTCAAAAAGTACTCATGTTTGTACCTAACTTTTGGTAATAAATTCATTTTGTTATTTACAATTGTCTTTGTTTTATGGACCATTGGAGGTTGGAAAAAAAAACGCCCTCATAATTTAATATAAGATTTAAAAAATTCCTAATAAAATTTTATATCATAATAAGACAAAAATTTTGTGAAAAGTATCTTACAGAATTGCATAAACCATTCTATCTGGTCTGAGACATCTCATCATACATAATCTCTCTAATGCTATTTTGTTCTTCCATTCTTGAGGAAATTTTTCTTTCTCTGGTGCTTCACTATCTACAAATTTATACCAACGTTTTGCAGAGCCTTCAATTTCTTTATCAAGATTTCTGAATTGATCCATACTTGAAAGTACCTACGACAAATAAAATCATGATGATAATTTTTTTTATAAATAAATTAATTATTTTATTACTAATTCAATTAACTAATTTTAATTAAATACAATGTACAGTGAAATTCTTTTAGCCCAGCAACTAGTTTGCCAGCAAATCAAATAAACCAGCATTTTGTGCTTGTCCTTGGGAGAGGGTTACTGGTGCACTAGATAGGTTTAGAGTTCAGATTTCATGTCAAAGCACTCAAAATGCACAATTATTGGAAGAGAATGTAGGTTCTCCTTTTAGAGATGACAAATGCTAAGGCAACATAATGTTGTGCTAGATAAAACCAGTTGTGCATGATTTTTCTTAATGTTAAAAAACATCAAAGTATTTCTTTGTCTCAGAAATAGAATATATTTGCTATTAAATTATGATCATATTTATCTGATATCAGAATTATTTTAGAATTGTATTTTGTAATTGTACTTTGTCATATCAATAATAGCTAAAAAGTTAAAAAATTATATAATCTTAAACATTTTCTTTGAAGGCAAAGATATTAGTATATGAATATATTCAGCAATTTCAAATTATTATGGTATTATTAATTAAAACTATTTTTATTTTAGTGAATACTTCATTAATACTTTATATAATATTCAAACAACAACTAATAAAAAAAATAAATAATTATACTTACTTTAATAGCTCCCCAGCTATAATTTGAAAGAAACTGAACAGGACTAATAGAATTTGGAACTGATGGAAATCTCAGAAGAAAATCCAATAAAATTGGGTCTATTTCATCATTCATTTTAAGTATCTGTAAATATTTATACATGAATAAGAGTAAAATTGAAACAAAATATAAATAACATTTACAGATATAAGAAAAAATATATATTTATTTCTAACAGTACTTTATAGATATTTAAAAAAGAAAATATTGAGAGTTATTTCAAAAATAAAAGTATTTCTAGAATATAGTCCAGAAGAATTAATTCAGAAAGATTAGCACAGACAAATAAAACAATTATTATCTCATTCATCACAACATTTGAACAAAGACTATTTACTTATATTTTTCATGAATTTTTAGAATATTAATTTGAAGTTAAGATTTTATTTTCAGTGATATTTAAACTAGTGTAAAATAATAAGGATAATTCCATTGCTCACAGTACTAAAACCTTATTAATAAAAAAAAATTAATGGCAGCTTGTCCTTAATTATCATAATCAGTTCCACCAAAGTGATTTTTGTTTTCAGGAAAGGAACAAGCCCCTTTTTTTGTCCTCCTTAGTGGTGCAGTATGCTCAGTTATTTAAATAATTTCAATGTTTTGAAATTATTTAAATAACTGATAATTGAGTTTAACTCCCTCTGAGTTAAAAAAAAGTTTGTGTTCTTTTTAATTAACTTTGCAACTTCCCTTTTATCAGTTCTGCTTCTAAGGAAAGGAAAATGTTTGGTTCCTTAATTTTCAGTGTATTGCATTTCTCAACATTTTTTAAAAGTATTTTACCTAGTACATCCACCATCACCCACCTACTGTCCCTTATTTCCCTCATTTATTTTGACTTCTCCCTTTTCCCCTGTTGGCAACCTCATACCCCTCTGTCAAACCTGAAATCAAATCTCCAATCATTCAACCTCACATTTAGACTTTACATGTATAATTTAAAATAAATTAATAATCATATAAATAAATAAATATATACTGTATATATAAACATATACATACACAGGGTGTTTCCAAAGGAGGGGTAACCAGACAAACGGAAAATGACAGAAGTTTTTGTAGAAAAAATAATGTAGAAAGCATAAAAAGTTTTCTTGTAATTGTTGTAGTTTAGTAAAGACAGCACTTTAAGTGTATGTGATCATTTTTTAATTATTAACAATTGGATAATAAGATGTATGCTCCACATAAACAAGACAAAGTATTCTATCTAATAATTAATTAATGAAGAAATGTTCAAAATGTCCTCCTCTGTCATACAAGCACATCTTAATCCTTTGATAAACTAAATGCTGAATGTAACCAAAACTGCTGTCACACTGTTTTTGCAATAGTATAAATCTTTTGTACAAGTTTTTCTTTATTTTCTATCTCAGAACTGTATACTTTTTTTTTGTGGGTTTGAAATAAAGAAGTCCAATGATGTCAAATTCAATAAAGAAACTTTATTTGGCCAGGCCCACAAAGGGGCAGCAATGTGGTGAGGGTCCAGTACATCTGGAATGGATCAACCACAAAAAGTTCTGGGGTTTTTTAACTCATTGGATTTATTCCTAGGTCCCCTACAGTGATAGGGGACCTAGGAATAAATCCAGGAATAAATAGTTGTTTATAAATAATTTGTACAAAAGTGTCAGCACTAGAAGTGCTCTCAGGTGCAAGTTGCTTTCAAGCTAATACTGGTTGTTATGTTATGTTATGAACTGTTTCTAAATATTTATAGACTAGTATAGTTCTTAAACAATTTTCCAATCTCAACATGCAGTAATGAAAGATCATTTTCAACTTTAACATGCCTAAAAACATGACTAGACAAGCAAGATTGAATAGACTGGTACTTATGTATTAATCAATATAATTATTCTAATTTAAATATTACAACTGAAAGTATTAATTTATAGTATTTTACCTGAAATACCATTTGAGTAGTAAATATTATTTTATCATCTTCAAACAAACCACGTGCTGTGTACATAAAAATTGAATATGTAATGCTATCAATTAAATTTTCAGTTCTCTGTTCGATATCATCACTAAATTTGTTTTTTTCAATAGCTTTATAAAAAACATTATTAAAAGCCTGGAAATAAAAATAGAAATTTAATAAGTTGTATATTATGTTAAAAAAATGTATAACTGCAAACATTTGAAAATCAAAGTAGACGTTTATTACAATTTATTATACAATAGAACCTGGATAATTCAAATAATTTTGAATATGTGAATAATTTGGAGCCTTGAATTTTCTATAAAAGTAATATAAAAAATTCCTTTTCAATTTGAACTTTTTTAGTTAATTCAAAATCAAATTGTAAAAGGTTTTAAAAAATCACCTGCAACATTGAAATAGTTTAGGCACTGATATAGGTAACATTGGAAAATTTTAGATTACAGTATTCCCATACACAATGACTTTCTTAGCCTCAATTTAAACATTTGCCTATATCTTTAAGAAGAGGGAGCATGAGAATGAGAGAAAACTGCAGAACATGGAAAAACATAACTGAAGTTTCCAATCATTTAGTTATTATTCTGATGTAGATGACTAAGTATAGCTAGAGTAGTTTTAACACTAATGTTTTTATCACCAGTTAAACTTCTAAGCATGTTCAAATACTCTACCTTACATTATCTATAAAAAGATGATATAGTACTGTTTTTAGAGTGGCTAAATAAATAGGCAACTTCTGTGAGGACCCGAACAGGGGTCGACTGAGAGGTCTGAATAAGGGGTGTCAATTTAAAATAAAGAGCTCCTTTTCAGATACTAATGGAAAGGATTAGGTGTCTCGATTGAACAATACAACTGTTTTTTTTTTTGTAAATTAGTTAAACAATGGAAAGGAATAAAGTCGAGAAAAAGCGATGAAAGAGGAATCATATTCAGTTGCGACGCTGACCTCTCCTGTGCCCTCCATCGGGTTTCAGATTGTCACCAGGTGACAGTGAGAGACCAATGGAGAAGAGACTAGGGGAAAAAACTCTATAAAACTGCGTTTTCAAGGACATAAAAGGTTCTTGGTTCTTGGATGCGCAGTGTTTCTTCTCCTGGATGTGCGTGCTCCAGATCTTTGGAAAAGAAAAGAACATTTTGGAACTTGTGGAAACATCATTCTCTGGGTGCCTCCTAGCGATCTACAGATTCATCCAACGAGAAGCCGCTGAAAGCCGCTTACAGAGTATTTCACTGTCAGTGTCCATCCACAAGTAACGAAGACAGAACTTCTCAAACTTTATTCGGACTTTTTCCGCATGTTTTGTGGTGCTACCTCGTCAATCAAGGAATTTGTAAAGAAATTTCTATGTTTAATAAACGGTTTACGATGGAAACCTGTCTCAGTGAATCCTAACACTCCCACACAACAGAGTTGACTTCTCGGCTGTCGGAAAACTCCTCACCCCAATCGGTTAACCTCACACTTCCACTACAATTTTCTGCAATTTCTGTTCTTAATTAATTAATATTGGCAACACTAAAAGCATTTGTGATTGGACTTGTGAGTGTTAAACTGTGTGTTAAACTATATTTATGAGTGTATGATGTAATTTGTCCCATCATTATGTTTGTTCAAATCCACTCATTCTTATATAAAATCAACAATCATTTCAACCATTCAAAATTTCATTCTTTAAAAAAAAAAATATAATTGACAAAAGTACCATATATAACATTAAAAACTATAATGTACTAGTAATACTCTATTGTAATGAATAATATATAAATTGTTTATTAATTTATTGTTACAGTATTATATTTTATTTACATAATTTATTACCAATTCATTCATTTTCATTTTTATTTTATTTACAACTTGTTGGAGTACAACAAATCCTGGCGCCATATACATATAGCCAGGTGAAAAGCGGAGTTGATGGTTACATAATAACGATACATTTAGTAGGATAAAATACATAATAAGGGAATAGGGAAAAAATAAAAAAAATAAAAGTATAAAGATATAAAAATATAAAGGTATGAAATATGAGACAATAAAGGCACAGAACACAGTAAGTGAGGTTTTAGTTGAAAGCAGCAACAGTAGTCCTTTTAAAGTACATGTCAATGAGGTGAAGTAGTGCAGCATAGGTGTCACTATTGTTCATACTTCCGTGGAGGTTTTCAGGCCAGTGATAACCATGTGTCTCCATGGAGGTGCGAAGAAGGTGTCTCTCAAGCTCAAGCATTGGGCAGGTGAGTAGATAGTGAAGGCAGCCGTCTTCGACATCGCAAAGGGAACAGCTGAAGGTTGGAGAGTTAACAAATCTAGCCAGGTAGGAATAGAAGCGTCCGTGATTGGTAAGAAATTGGCTGGTACGTTGGGTCGGTCTATACCAGGGGATAGCAAGGAAGGTCTTGATGTTAGGAATGAGTTGATGGGTGATGGGATGATTTTGTCTGTCCCAGTCCTCCTGCCAAAGATCGAGGAGGTCGTTGCGAATGATGTTTTTTATAGTTTTAATATTGATCTTGCTGTAGACAATTGGAAGGTTGTTGTCTTCACAGGCGCTCTTTGCGAGTTCATCGGCCCTCTCGTTACCGAGAGTGCCCTGGTGGGCACGAGTCCAGTAGATGGAGTAAATGTTGCTGGATTTGTTGATGTCACTATGGATGCTGGTGGAGATGGGGTGGTCACAATGGTTTTTTAAGGCTGCAATAGAGGACTCGCTGTCGGTGATGATAGTAACAGTCTGGGAATCATAGTTCGAGGCAGTCCAAGCCACGGCCATGCTTATCGCGTACATTTCCGCCTGAAAGACGGTACAGTCTGCACCAAGTCTGTACCGCTCAGACGCAATTTCGGTGTTGTTTAGGTAGGCGACAAAACCGCTACCAACATTATTGTTACATTTAGACCCATCAGTATAGACTGTTAAATCGGTATGCTCAGGCTGGAAGAAGTTTAATTTATTAGGGATAGCAGGGTGATTGGAACGAGAGAAGTGGATGGCGCACTCGAGGTCGTGATGGTTAATTTCCTGTGTAGCTGTATGGATAGTGCTGCCCCATTTAAGATGCCAAACTTTAGTTTGTAGGGAGATATGTTTGTCAATGGGCATTTTTCTTGCCAGGACTTGAAGAGAGGAGTTGGGTGTCGTTCTATAGGCCCTCGTAATGTGCAAGAGGGCTTTGCGTTGTGCGGCGATGAGTTTTCTTTTAATGTGAACCCTGCAGGTAGACCATCCCCAGCTGCCACAGGCATAGGTAATTATGGGGACAAAGATTTGGTTGTAAATGGCATCCATGGCCTCAGAGGCCAGGCCCCAGCGTCTACGAGCAATGCCAGCAAAGGTGTTGAAGATGTGTCCTGTGCGCTCGGTGATGTATTCAACGTGAGCATTCCACAGCAGCCTGTGGTCGAGTACAATGCCCAGGTACTTGATGGTCTTTTCAACGGCAATGGTTTGTCCCCCCATTTTAATGGTGGGGACTCTAAGGTAAAGATTCTGCTGGCCAGGTCTATTAAAAACGACACATTTAGTTTTTTGTGCGTTAAAAACGAGCTTGTGGTTTCTTCCCCAGTTTAAGATCTTATCAAGTATGGCGTTGCCGTCTTTTTCAATGGCTGCACGAGAGCGGCTCCCAAGGAGCAGAAAAACATCATCGGCGTAGGCCACTATATCATGGTGCCCAAAGTCTTGCTGGAGAAAATCGTTGAAGTAAATGTTCCAGAGTGTTGGTCCACAGACCGAGCCCTGAGGGCAGCCACGGACAACAGAGCGGTGGATAGTGTGACCTCCACATTGTAGAAAGGCGGTTCTGTCCCTAAGGTAGTCCCGTATGAGATAGTAAAGGTTAGCTGGGCACTTAATCTTACGAAGTTGATGGAGAAGAAGCGGCCACCAGGCACTGTCAAACGCTTTAGCGATGTCAAGACTGATGGCCAAGACATATTTGTTATTTTGGAGGAGGTGGTCAATGTTGTCAATAACCCTATGGATGGCATCAGAAGAGGATTTCTGTGGACGGAAGCCGAATTGCGAGTTGTGCAGTATGGAGTTGTTTTCCAGGTACCAAACAAGCCTATTGTTAAGAAGCCGTTCCAGGACCTTGCCAAGAACCGGCAGGAGGGAAATCGGTCTGCTTTCATTAGTGCGTCCAGGTTTGGGGACAGGGACAATTCTGGCCTTTTTCCATGTTTGGGGAAAAACACCATGGCGGAGACAAGCATTATAGAGGTTTGTCAGCTTAGTGGGGATGAGGTTCCAGAGGGTCTTAGCCATCTCTGAGGTGATGTCGTCATGGCCCGGGGATTTCTTATTGCGGAGAGTGGAGAAAGCCCTGTCGATCTCATGAGTTTGAAACTCAGGATCAAGAGGAGTGTTAATATCATTGTCTACACTTTGGCGGATGTTGGTTTGAAAGTTGTTGTCCTGGTCGCGGGGGTCCTCTAGGCAGAAGTTGTCTATTTTCCTGTTGGCGGCAGTGAAGAAGTCTTCGTCAGGGGTGTTAGAATAAAGAATTTGATGTTTTTTAAGTTTTCCAGTACAGAATTTGGTGATGAATCCCCAAGGACTTTTGGTTGCCTCTGCGCAAAACGTTCTCCAAGAGTCTTGTTTGGCCAGCTTGATTTTATGTTTGTAAATGTGGAGGTGATCGGTGTACTGCTGCTTGAGGATATTACGTTGAGGATTAATGTGGCATGTCTGATAAAGTTTTCTTAAGCGGATGTGTTCTTTCCTGAGATCAGTGAGCTCAGATGTCCACCAAGGGACAGATTTACGTTTGTTGGCAGACATGGGAATGTATTTTCTGCAGGTACTGTCAATGATGTTTATGCTGTCCTCAATACACCTCCGGGCAAGTTCTGGGTCGTCATGATTACATTCAAGAAGGTTAGTATCAAGGGTATGTTGGATAGCAGCCCAATTAGCACGTTTAATATTATATTTTGGGCGAGAGTGAGAGTTGACCGGAGAAGTGGCACTGATGGTAAAAGAAATAAGGGCGTGGTCGTCCAAGGAGTCCTCAAGAACCTTCCAGTGAAGGATGAGTGGGAAGCAACCGGTGGAGCAAGCAGTCACATCTATCCAACTACGACCCTGACTAGAAGTAAAAGTTGGTGGGGAAGATGGGTCGTT